ATATATATACATAAATATATATTTCTGTATATATATATGTACATTTATACATTTCCATTTTGCATATATTGCTTTTCGCAAAAGTTTTGAATGCAAGTCGGAAATGAATTGCATTCGCGTCATGTGCTCGACGCCAGTTTTAATGCAATTCCAATTTAACTTCGTTACACACAGTTCCTATTCGCAAATCGCATTCGCATTCGCGCATTGCCCAAAAACTTTGCGAACAAAATCACAAAGTAATTGCAATTCGTTCGCCAAACACAATTTAACGAAATTTGGTTCAAAGTTTCAAATTGAAGGCAAGTTGGCAGGTGAAGTCCCTTCCGCTTCCTCTCCCACCTCCGGCCCACACAAATTCTGAGCACTTAACACAATTCACAATGGCTATGGCCAAGAGCCGGCTGGTGCAGCAGCATTTTGGCCAAAAACCTGATTGGCATTTGCTTCTAGAGCTTGACTTTCTTTTACTTGACTCAACTCGATTCGACTGCAGCTCCTGCTGCTGCTCCTACTCCTGCTCCTGCTGCTGCTCCTGCTGCTGCTGTTGCACAAGSCAAATGCAAATGACGCACATGCTCTCACAGTCATTACAAATTAATTTCACACGTGACTAAGTCGACATAGCAGCAGCTCCATTCACTTGAGGAGCTCAGCTCGAGCTGCTAAAGCTGCCAGCATCAGGCTGGGCAGCCAACTGACATTATGTCAGACATATGACATTCAATTACGAAAAGTTGTTGCATCTTGATGAGCAAATGTGCCATATAATGTGCTCCCGCTCCTGCTGCTGCTTCCACTACTGCTGCTGCTGCCACATGGCTGGCCATAGCAGCTTGCTGCTTGCTGATTGCTGATCCTTTGGGGAGCATCATCGATGATGACGCTGTTGACTGTTGCATAAGCCAGGGGAGCAACAACGCTGCGCGTGTGTATCGGAATGCAAATGGAAAACTTATAAGATGAATTTAATAACTTGAACTTGCTGAAAACATGTCAAAGGTTGTTGTGTAAATTACTTGAAAAGGGCAGCAGCAAGTCCCTTCAATAAGCTGTTTCAAGAAGCATGGCTTTTGCTATGATAGGCTAAGGTCTAATAAAATAAAGCCAGAATAAATCACAAATGCAGCGCTTGTTCCGTTTCAATTGAATATATAT